CCCACCACTACTTGCCTTTCGCAGGGACCACTCACTCCACGACTCCCTCGTCAGCTCCATACTCCCCACTAACCCCACCACCTCGGCACCTTTCCCTGCAACTGCCTTGGGAGCCTACAGCCCGATGACCTAAACACTGAAATTCACCAACTTTAAAATCTCCCCAACCCTGGCCTCATCCCGTGTCCAACCCTCCCTCTCATTCCCACCTCCTTGACCTGACACAACCTGTCCATCTTCTCTACCCACCTATCCACCCCTCCTACCTCACTGACCAATCACCACCACTCCCTACCTGCACTCCCCTATCACCGTCCCACCTACCTTCTCCAGCCCCACTCCTCCTCTCTCTATTTATTTCCGAGCTCCCTTCCCCCTCCCCATTTCTGAAGAAGGGTCCCAACCCGAAACATCAGCTTTCCTGCTCCCCTGATGCTGCCTGGCCTGCTGTGTACCTCCAGCTCCATACTGTTATCTTTAACTCCAGCATCTGCAGTTCTTGCTTACTCTCAAACTTGAATATAGCCAGTTTATTTCCCCTCATCAGTTGCTGTAGCTGTTTATGTTTATTATTAAGCTAGAGGCCTCTATAAGTTTGAACTAGTCATTCTATGTCACCTGCAAACAAGTGAAAGTACCTGGAGAAGGAAAGTGGAGAAGCAGTGTTCTGACAAGCAAAAAGATAATCTCAAAAAAGCCCTGTGAATGGGGACTGCTGAACTACCTTCCCAGTCTTTCCCTCTGCCCATAACACTTGTATTATTTTGTGCCTCTCTGTATGTGTGGTAGAGGGGGTATTTTAATAAGTAGGTTAGAGTTTTGACTAGTATGTCAACAGTTCATAATTGTTTTATCATAGAATCCCTACAGTTTGGAAGCAGGCCATTCAGCCCATTGAGTCCACACTGCCCCTCCAAAGACCATCCCACCCAGATCCGCCCACCCCCCCACTCTATCTCTTTAACCCAAGATTTTCTCATGGCTAACCCACCTAGCCTGCATATCCCTGGTCACTTTGTGCAATTTGCCATGAACAATCCACCTTTCTTTAGACTGTGGGAGGAAACTGCCGCACCCAGAGGAAACCGACGCAGACACGGGGAGAATGTACAAACTCCACACAGTCACCTGACAGTGGATTTGAACCCAGGTCCCTAGTGCTGTGAGGCAGCAGTGCTAACCACTGAGCCACCGTGCCAACTTATCTGTACTCAGAATCTATTTATATGTAATAATAGTAATTCTTGTTAAGTACAGAAACCTGGTCTATGCTTTCTGTCGACATGGGTCTAAAAGCCATATAAATTGGAGAATTCTGTGTATTTTTAAAAAATCTTTAACTTTTATGATGACTCCTGGAGTAGTGGGACTTGATTTCCAACTACCCTAGTGAGGGGCACCACTGCTGTCTAGAAAGTTTCAATGTCCAGTCTTTCAATGTTAGTCATTAGTTGAGGTGGGCAAGTGGATTGAAAGGTGGCTGGGAATCGTAGTTGAGTACTGGGGTTTGGGATCCAGTCAGAGGTTTAGTTTAGGTGGGAGCCAGTTTTATATGTAACATTTTGTGGGTTCAGGTAATGTTAGTAGAACACTCTGCTGTTGCAGACTCCATCTCTCTTCAGATATTTAAATGTCCCGAGCCACTCCCACCTAAGTCAGCATGTCAGGACCTCCACAGGGACGATTTGACTCTTACCTCATTAATATTCAATTATTATACCTTGTGTACTTAATTCCTTCCAAATAGTGCACACTTGAAGATTGCACTAAGCACTGGCAACTAGCCTATTCCACGGTGATCTGTTGCATTCTAAATTATAGGAGAGAATTGTCTTGGCGCTATAATTTAAACCATGTACTATTGATTAACATCAACACTCCTCCATCAACAATGGACTTGCCATTGGAATGCAGTCCAGAATTTTAAACCCTCTCAAAGGGTACAATAATGTCCTGGTTACGATACCGTACTTTAAGCCAAGAGTTTATGTTACGACATGGAGACAGACAACCAAACCAATTCAGCCTCTCTACCTCTGTATTCATAACACAGTTAAATTAAGACCACCGAACGCCCCCAAAAGTTATTCCAATGGTTCCTAATCAGACTTTTGAATGACCAGTCCCAGATTTTGTGAATAATTAATTCCAGACACTGATTTTGTATCATGACCAAAAGACTTTACATTACATATACAATTACTTCAGCAAAGAAAAGCAAAACAACAAGGTAACTTGATTAATGTCGATGCTTTCTTTTGTATTCATTCACTGGATGAAGGCATCGCTGGTTAGGCCAGTACTTATTGCCTGTCCCGGACGGCAGCTAAGAGTCAACCACATTGCTATGGGTCCAGAGTCACATGTAATCCAGACCAGGTAAGGATAGCAGGTTCTTTCCCTAAGGGACATTAGTGGACTAGATTGAGTAATCCCAACAATTGACAATTATTAGACTCTTAATTCAAGATCTTGTTTTTTGATTCAAATTCCACCATTTTCTGTGCTGGGATTCGAACCCATATCCCCAGTGTAAGACATTGGCCTCTGGATTAATAGGCCAACAATAATAGGCCATTGCTTCCCCTAAAACGTTTGTTTTCAGCTCCTTATTCACACAAGAGACAGATAGTCAAAAAAATACAGTTAAGGGATAAATAAAAGAAAATAACAAAACTGGCCAGCATGGTTGTTTTTCTGAAAATGTTGATCAGGCTCACTTTTCAGTTCACTCAGGCAAAGATATTAATACTTCTAACTCTGCTTTCTACTGTGTAGGCTTCTGGAAGATGGTGTGGGAGATTAGGTAGGGAAAATCTTTGAACTATGTCACCAGCAGCCAAACATATCTCCCCAGAAAACACAGTTAAAAAGAACAGTTCCAGTTCTGGCCCCACCCTAAGAGGCTGATCATCTTTTCCCAAGGCCTCAGTTACTATTCAACATCTGTCATCTGCTTGAATACAGGGTCTCTTCCAGACTTACTGGAACCATTTCTCAGGTAAAGACCTCATTAATGCAAAAGAGCAAAAGAGAAGCACGGCACAGGAAAAGGCCCTTCAGCCCTACAAGCCTGTGCCGATTATCATGCCCTGACTAAACTAAAAAAAGAATCTTCTGCCCTTATTCAGTCCGAATCCCTCTATTCCCTCCCTACTCATGTAACCATCCAGATGCCTCTTAAGTGTCGCCAACATGCCTGCTTCCACCACCACCTCTGGCAGTGCATTCCAGGCTCCTACCACTCTCTGTGTGAAAAACTTCCCTCACACATCTCCCTTAAACTTTCCCCCTCTCACCTTGAACCTGTGCTGCCTCGTAATTGAAACTTCAACCCTGGGAAAAAGCCTCTGACTATCCACCCCATCTATGCCTCTCATAATTTTGTAGACCTCTATCAGGTCTCCTCTAGCCGCCATCTTTCCAGTGAAAACAATCCTAGTCTTTTTAATCTTTCCTCATAGTCAATGCCCTCGAGACTGGGCAACATCCTGGTTACAGAGTTACAGAGTCATACGGCATGGAAACAGACCTTTCAGTCCAACCAGTCCATGCCAACCATAATTCCAAAGCTTCCACGCCCTTCTGGTCATGTGGCGACCAAAACTGCACACAATACTCCAAATGCAGCCTAACAAGGGTTTTATATAGCTGCAACATGTTTTGTCAACTCTTGTACTCTTTGACCCGGCCAATGAAGGCAAGCATGCCATATGCCTTCTTAATCACTTCGGCCACCTGTGTTGCCACTTTTGGAGAACTGTGGACCTGCATACCCAGATCCATCGGTATGTTAATGTTCCTAAGGGTTCTGCCATTGACAGTATAATTCATACCTAAATTTGATCCTCCAAAATGCATTACCTTGCATTTGTCTGGTTTGAACTCCATCTGCCGTTTCTGTGTCCAAGTCGCCAATCTATATATATCCTGTTGTATCCTTTCATAGTTGTCAGCACTATCAGCAATTGCATCAATCTTTGTGTCATCTGCAAACTTACCAATCAGACCACCCAAATTTTCCTCCGGCTCATTCATATATACTACCAACAACAGAGGACCTAAGTCTGATCCCTGTGGAACACCACTAGTTACCGGTCTCCATTCTGAAAAACACCCTTCCACCACTACTCTCTGTCTTCTATGACTAAGCCAGTTTTATATCCATCTAGCCAGACCACCCCGAATCCCATGTGATTTTAGTTTTTGTACCAATCTGCCATGTGGGACTTTATCAAATGCCTTACTAAAGTCCAAATAAACTACATCCACAGCTCTTCCCTCATCAATTATCTTTGTCACCTCTTCAAAAAATTTGATCAGGTTGGTGAGACATGACCTTCCCTGTACGAAACCATGCTGCCTGTCACTATCTAGTCCATTTTCTTCCAAATGTACATATATCCTGTCCCTAAGGAACGTCCTTCTAATTTTGTTTTTGTTCTGCATGACCTAAACCATAAATTGCCCAGGAATTGCAAAGTTTTTGTGGTAATATGTTAACTTAAAGGGGACAACTTGTGCTTAGCCTGTGCAGGAACTAAGTACGGGAGGAACACTACTGGCACGCCACTTTCTTGTAAAAACAATCACAAGAAGACAACCCATTAGAAAGGGTTTGATACAGTAAGTAAGAAGAAGCAGTTTCTATTCTTGGAAGCATTGGTAATCAAAGAACACGTATGAAATAATTGATTTTAAAAAAAGCCAAAGCAGGAGATAAGGAGATTTTTCTTTTACTCAGTGGTTGTTATGGTCTATTGTTCACTCATTGAAAGGTGATGAAATTCAATAATAACTTTCAGAAGCGAACTGGATAAATTACTTGAGAAGAAAAGAAAATCAAAGAGGAATCGGATTAATTGGTTGCCCTTTCAGAGAACTTGCACGAAGATGATAGGCCAATCGTTCTATGATTGACTTGTCTCTGGTTGTGATGTGTACTGTCAAAACAACATATTAATTGCTTTTTGCTTGTTTAATTCTGTTTCATCAAACAGGTAAATTCCCAGGAGAGGGAGGCATCGTTGCTCCAGGCATGAGCTGCCAGTACACTGTCCGATTTGCTCCTGATTCACCAGCTGAATATGAAGATTTCCTAATAGTGGAGACACAGACACCCTATCCACTCGTGGTCCCCATTGAAGCCAGAAGATCTCCTCCTATATTATCCTGTGCGTGATTCTTATGTAAGGGGAGTGGTGGTGGAGGAGTGGGGCTGTAATTATGAGACAATTAACAATCAACAAACACCAAAGAATTTTCCGGGTGAAGTTCTCCAGTAGCTTTGTCAATAAAGCCCAGGAAAAGAAATGGTTATTACAGTAGGCAGGCAGGAGAACCTTTTTGGAAATTCCCCCTTCATTTCGCAAATAAGTCAACTTGTTACTGTCTTAATTATTCTTATTTTTGTCTCTTCCTCTTTCTTGTTTCTTCCCTGGCAACAATGACCAAGAGGATGGGAAAGGCTCACTGCTCTTAATCCTTTTTCCAATATGTCGTTGCATTATCCAGGATCTTAGCATAGTGCCTTAACGTTCTTTTGGCACGATGATTCGTTTTGAAGTCTTCCAAAATATAAATAGGCTTAGCAACCATTCGATACTGAATTGCAATGCCCTGTAAATAGCAATGAGATGAATCAGTAATGAACTGATATTTCGAATTGTGTTGGTTGATAGAAGAATGTTGGCCTAGAAACTGAGATTGCTTCTATCCAGTGTTGTAGAATTGTACAATTTGCATAATTTTCAGCAAACCTTTTAAATGGAGGGAAGCAAAGAAGAATGTATTGGTCGCAGGGAACACTATAGTGAAGGAGATTAACACTATTCTCTGCAGTAAAGGGAAGCTAAAGTCCAGGAGGATGTCTTGCCTACTAGGTACCAGGATTTAGGACATCCTCTCAGGGCTGGAGAGGATAATGCAGTGGTAGGTAGAGGATCCAGTTGTTGATTCATGTAGGTATCAATGACGTAGACAATATAAGGAAAGGGGTTCTGTACAGGCAGTATGAGGAACTAGGTGCTAAATTAAAAAGCAGAACCTCAAAGGTAGTAATCTCTGGATTATCTTCAATAATATAGAGATTATTTATCTGCATGAGTCACAGAAAATTGGATTAGGACAAATAAAATTAGAGAAATTAAAGTGTGGCTCAAAGACTGGTGTGGGAGAAGTGGGCTCCAGTTTGTGGAGCACTGGTGCTAGTATCTGGGAAAGTGGAATATACATTGTTCGGGACAGTCTACATCTGAAGCGTGTTCCAGCAAACTGCATAACCAGTAGAGAGAGCGCTACATTAAATAGTGGGGCAGAGAATCACATTTGGGAAGGTTCCATAGATTAGAGAGTAGAGTCAAAGGAAGAGAGAAAGAAATTAATATGGGAAATCACAAACAGATGACAGAGAGAGACAGAGAGTACAAATTTAAATGTAAATCAACATATAAGACTAGAGGTTACAAAAATACTAAAAGGAAGAAAAACCATGCTCTGTAACTAAATAGAATAATATTTGGTACAGGTTACCTCCGTAAACTCCGAAGTAACTTTTTTAGAAACAACCTTCTCTAAACACGTAGCCAAGCCAATTATAAACTAAGCTACACAATAGAATTAAACTAATCCTCCTTAGTCCTAACGGAAACACATTCATACACAGATAGGACAAGACACAGCTCTACAGTGATTATGGGCTTTACTACAACACAGGAAAAATAGGGAAAACCACTATTCATCAAGAGTCCAAACTTAAAGGTAGAATAAGATGACTTTCTCACGCTTCCTTTGGTTTCTTGTCGATGAAATCGCATTGGTATCAGTTGCAGAATGATAGAAGGCCCTCAGTTCATGTAGCAGCTCAATTAGATATTGGTCTTACAATTGGGTTAACAATTCAGCTTTCAGAGTTTACGAAAAAAAAATTAAAGATATTGATTCCTGGAGCTTTGCCCAATCCTCAGGAAATATTTCACTGAGATATTTCTTCAACTTGTTTTCTTTGAACGTTATATTGTAACTCATTGAGAGACAGTGCGAAAGAACAAGAAAGAAAGATAACATTACTTCTTTCTAAGACTATCCATAACTGAATAGCTCTCAGTCTGTGGCAAAACAGAAACCAAAAGTCTAGAGGCTGTAGTTAGGCAATCTCTATCACTAGACTCTTCCAAAACAAAGTCTTGTTGTCCAGCAATTAAGGAATATGGAAATCCCAGAGTGGGACTCTGACAGAGGCATGGTGAGGGCTGTTAACCCCTGAGTGGGCCTGCAGCAGTGGAAACGAAGGTTGGACTCTCTTAAATTATTTTTTCTTATCTTATTCTAAGTTAATGTAAATGGCACCATGTATGTAGGGCGAAGGTACACACTTTTCACTGTACTTTTTACATTGACTGCACAAGACAATAAATGATTCAATAAAGCAACCTCTTAACTCTCTTTCGAAAGTTTGTTCCCCACAAGGCCCCTTGACCTTTTCTAAATAGACAATTCCAGTTCTTTTGACCTTTGATTTCTGCATTCTATAAAGTGACATAAATTCTGTGAGGAAAATTCTGCCCATGATGTCTAAATGCAGCAGGATACTGAATTTTGGCCATGCTCAGACTGTCTCGGCCGAGTTGGAGAGCTGGTTTTGAGCTACACTCCAGCAGCAGACATTGGAATTCCAGCTCTGAGTATTGAATTGATGTCCAGTGATGGTACCTCTGTTCAATGGAAGTGAGTAGCCGATCTCCATCATAAGGAGCAATTGTTGCTCTTCACCCTTGATTGCAGCCCACGTAATGAATGTTCTCCAAAGATAAAAAAACATTTGGGAGGGCAACATGACACAAATAGCTGTTGTTCCCTAGTAACTAGTTCAAGGGTCTCACATTAGACCCAGGGCAGAATATAAAGAATAGAACAATGTTTTAAATAAATTTGTATCAAATGAGCTTTCTTCAAATATTATTTTGCATTTTACCTAAAGAGAATTCATTGTGCTTGTTTTTCATCATCATAACAACTCAATCTTTCTACAAAACAGTCACAGATTTTCAAAGTTATTCCTTGTACATAGAGTCATACAGCATGGAAACAGACCCTTCAGTCCAACCAGTCCATGCCGAACACAATCCCAAACTAAACGAGTCCTACCTGCCTTTTCCTGGCCCATATCCCTCCAAACCTTTCGTATTCATGAATAAAAACCAAAAGAACTGCGGATGCTGTAAATCAGGAGCAAAAATAGAAGTTGCTGGAAATGCTCACCAGGTCTGGAAGAATCTGTGAAGAAAAAATCAGAGTTAACGCTTCGGGTCTGGTGACCCTTCCTCAGTACTCTGAGGACCCAAAACATTAACTTTGATTTTTTTCTTCACAGATGCTGCCAGACCTGGCGAGCTTTTCCAGCAACTTCTGTTTTTGTTCCTTTTGTGTTCATGTACTTGTTTTGTCTTTTAAACATTGTGATTGTACCCGCATCTACCACTTCCTCAGGAATTTCATTACACACACGAACCACTCTCTGTGTAAAAAATTTGCCCGTCATATCTTTTTTAAAATCTCTCTCCTCTCACCTTAAAAATGTGCCCGCAATCTTGAAATTCCCCCATCCTAGGGAAAAGACACCTACCATTAACCCTATTCATGACCCTCATTAGAACATTTTAAAGAAGTTTCTAAGAGACATGATAGAAGCACAAGGAAGAAAAGGTTTCTGGATTTGGGGCAGTCAAAAATACATACCGAATTATGTCATTAATATTGAAACACAATGGAGAATTTTGACCTTTTATTGTATGATTAATGCAAAGGAGTAAACTATTGTTTTCTGTCTGACCCACAGTACCTGGTACTTTAGACTGTGGATATTGCCTGGTGGGTGGAGTGAAGATCACAGAGTTCCTTTGTAGAAACGATGGCTACAACTCTGGATGTTTTTGTGTGATGCCAAAAAAAATGTGGCCAACTACAAATTTCAGAGTGAGTGTTCTGTGTGCCAAGATTTTGGACTCATAAGATGAAGGTATTGTAAGTTGGGTTGTCTTTGCTGTGCTTTCATGAATGTGTTTCAAGAATAATCTATGGAATCCTGCCCTATTAAGGGGAAAGATCTTTGTAAAAAAACAAGTCATTAAAACTCTTTATATTGTGGAGACTTTTGAACAAATGACTGTTCTTTATTTTAATTGAGAGAGTCACTTTGTGGTTGACTGTGCTATTGATACTGCCCAACTATACAACTAGAAAGTCGTTGGTTCAACTTCCTATTTTGGGTATAACTTTAGGATTGATTACTGTTGCAATGTCTGTGGCACAACTGAAAATTAGAACTACTATTAAACCTATTTCAGTTACCCAGTTGGGATCAGAAGCTCACTACGAGTGAATTACCATCACAGACTATCATTCTGCGCAATAGCACTGAACAATATAATAATGACAAAGACTATTCAGCCCATTCAGTCTGTGCTATCTCTTTCAAAGAGTTATCTGGTTAGTCCCATTCAACAGCTTTTCTTCTCCTACAGAAAGTTACTTCTGAATGTGTATTCATCACCCTATCTGGCAGGATCAAATCCCGATCATACATTGTGTAAAAAGGTTTTTGTCGATATCACCAATTTGGCTGGCAATCGCCTTTCATCTCTGTTGACCATTCAACATCTCAGAGTATCCTTTGGGTGGCCCATGACTTCAACGAAACGATCATAACAGCAACAGAAAAATTGCAATGAATGACACTGTCCTATTGTACCTTGAACAAGTTTCAAGCAATGTTTCTTGGCAAGTGATTTAAAGAGCCAACATTTATGATACTTATGACAGAATTCTTTGCTTTAAATAGAAGAGGACTAATAGGGCTGGAATTTAGGCAGCATGGACTGCTCACCCAGGTGGAAAATTGGTAGAAGCCAACTCACTTCTCAGAAGTCTGCCCTGCAGCTATGATATGTTTTGGGTGGCTAATAGTGCGGCTTCCACTCCTTCACTACTGAGGAAGTCCTACCAGACAATCTGATAGTCCCATCACTACCAGCAGTGCCAGAGCTCAATAGTGAACGCTGCCAGGATAGCAGGAAGGACCATGAGGAGGATAATAGCTACTTCGAGGTGATAAGCCCTGAGATCCTAGGGCTGCGAGAGATGCTAGATTCTAGAAACCCTGAATGAGGCATCCTACTTTCTTAAGTAAAAGCAAAATACTGCAGATATAGAAATATGAAACAAACACACAGAATGCTGGAGAAACTTGACAAGTCTGGCAGCATCTGTGTAGAGAGAACCAGAGCTAACATTTCAGAATGGCCCAAATTCAACCATGTCTAGCATTCAGGATGTTCTATTAAGTACTGTGCCTATTGAGTTAAACAATTCCTTCCTACCACATAATTAACTTCTCTTAACTCTGAATGTCAGTAGATAATTAGATTTTTGTTCTGATCTGATTTATATAATGGAAGTTTAGATGCTGAACAAACTATTTGTTTGCCAGAATCTGCAGAGGTTGTTGTCAGATGAAACGATCTTAACTGGCATCTATGATGCTGGGAGCCTCTAGAGGAGGCTGAGATGGATCATCCACTCAGCACTTCTGGATGAAGATCGTTGCAAATGCTTCAGCCTTCCCTTTTGCAAGGCCTTCCTATGGTTGCACATTGATAAGAATTTGGGCGACACTGGGCATTGGGGAAAGACTTAGACGGGGTTGTAACATGGGGTGAGGCTGAGTATGTGTATGCTGTGTGGCTTTGTTGTGCACTTCTATGTGTAATGAAGTCTCAGCTGTGTCATATTTGTGCTCTGAGAAGTGTTGGTTTGCTGTTGATGTCCACTACAAGCACAGTGAAGGGCAACTATGGACTGCCAATTCTTGCCTATGCACGGCTGGGGCTCAAACATGGAGTCGGCACCAGGGATCACGGGATATCCTGGCAGTGACACGTAATTCCACTTGTGACAAATGGGAGAATGTGATGAGTGGAGTGCCATAAGAGAATGGTGCATAGGTAATAAGGAGAGTTTATGATGATAGTGTGAGAAATCTCACTAGGCTTTCTGGGGAGAAACATTTCCATGAACCTTGTAAAGGACCTGTCTTGTTTTTATATGTATGTTAAATAGTGGGTTTGAATGAGAGAAAAGCTGTTTTAAAGCCAAGGGCTACAAGGATTGCTGCATTGGTTGAAAGTAAGTAACATGATACTCATTGTGAACACTGTTTGTGCAGCTGTTAAAGACAAACTGCAACCAAAGTGTTACGTACAAATGGAGATGTGGTTGGCAACGAGTAACGGATTTGTTTGAGGACTAGTGACCATTTACAAAGGACAAAGGTCTCCTGCCTGTCAACAGTTACGTGATTGAACAGCTCAGGCATCTGAACAGCTTCGATCTGCGAATATGATACAAAGAAGACTTCAGACCTCCACCAGCTCTGAACTCTCTCAATTCTCTGCAGTAAAAGTCACTTTAAGCCTGAAGAAAAAAAGTTTGCCTTTTGTTCAGCAGTTGCTGTAAGCAGTGACTTTTAGTTAGCAGTGAACCAGCCACCCAGTGCCTCTTGCAAATGAATGGAAGTGTCTGGAAAATGGTAGACCCAGAAGCAGCATTCTGATCAGCACAAGAATCATCTCAACAGACCCCATGAACGATGTCCACTGAACTGCTTTCCCAGTGTTCTTTCCATCAATAACGCACACTAGTGGGCGCGCGTGTGTATGTGCGTACGTATGTATGTGTGAGAGAGAGAGACAGAGAGTGAGAAGGGGAGCTTATAAGGGGATTAGCAGTGTTATAATTGTTTACCTGTAGCTACAGTCTTTTATATTTGTTTATTTTAATTAGTAGTGTTAAATGTCATAAGTTCAGAGTATCTAGAATTAATTGGCTTGTAATAAATAATAGTTTTGTTAAGTACAGAAACCTGGTCAGTGCTTTCTGTCAACCTGGGTCTAGAATATGGATAAATTAACTTTTGTGAAGACTTCTGGAATAACAGATCTTGATTTCCAGCATGCTACTCCAGTGAGTTGTGACAAACTCACCATAAGTGACACTTAGTCAATTACAGTATTAGTAAGTAAAAACCGAAAGAACTGCAGATGCTGTAAATCAGGAACAAAAACAAAGTTGCTGGAGAAGCTCAGCAGGTCTGGCAGCATCTGTGAAGGAACAAACAGAGTTAACGTTTTGGCTCCGGTGACCTTTCCTCAGAACTGTATTAGTAAGATTCAGCCTGTCGTCTTATAGAGCTAAAGTGTACACCGCACAATCCCACTTGATCTTCAAGTTGCATTAAAAACAA